TTCTCCCTCAATTCTGAATTTCCACTTCATGACTTATAATAATGTCTTACAATTTCATTTTACAAATATTGATACCCTGAATATCTGAATAGGTAAAGCTTGGCAGGCTAAGGTTTAGTTTCCCTACTAACCTCAATAATGATAAGTCACCAGAACAGGACACATTATTTACATATTTATTTGCGTAGGGCAGTTTTTTAACTAGAAGAGAAAGCGGTGGATTGATTCACTGAAGTGTCCGTTACTAGTCAGTCACTGAGGTTTCCAGGCATTTATTGCTTACCTGGAGAGTTACGGCTGACTCCGTCCAAGAGCACCGAAGGTGCGTCCGCGAGTGCTGGAACGCCTTGCGCTTCTCTCCCTGCCCTTCCTGTGCACACGTACACACTGGCCGTACATGCAGTTGGTTAGCGCCTTGATACTGTTACGGTGAAGCTCAGATGCTGTGGGACTGGTGAATTCTAGTAGTTAAGCTCTAGAGCTCAGAAATATTTCCATAACTACTTTTAAATAAATGGTTTCTCAGTGTGGTCACCAAGGACATTCTTTTCCTTGTCTTCATACTTAAGTACGAACTTTCATCTTGTGATTTATTGTTTGTTTTCTGGAGAAATGAAATTTTCATGGGAATGGCCGTAGGAACTTTTTGCCATCCTCTGAAGCACCTTGCATTTGATGGTGAACTTCTCACAGACATTTTCATGGAACTGTCCCACTGCCCTGCTGTGAACTTAGGACGCTGCTGTGGAAAAAGAGCATAAATTAGTCCTGGGAGCTTTGAGCATGTGACCCAGACTGAATGAATGCCGCTTTTACCTAATGACAGCAGACCCTGAAGTGTGGAAGCGAAGCCTAGCTTAAAAGATCCGCAGATAAAATCCTGACTCCCCTCACTGGCAACTTTTCCGAAGGGAAGAACTATCTACCCTTGCATCCACTGTGAAACTGAAAGATCGTGAATTGCCAGCTAGAATGCACGTTAGGCAGAGTCAGGAGCAGCCATAAATTTTGACCCACTGACTAGACTCAAAAGAGTGAATGAGTTGTTTGTCCGAGAGCAAAGCTCCGGCAGAACGCGTGCTGCAAGCCAGCCGGGTACATGTCTCGTCCTACTCACAGGACGCGGCAGGGGGATTTGCGCTGCTTCAGAAGCGCCAGCAATTCTGTTGCACTTTGACTTACATTGTGTGTTGCCTCACATAGTTTTAAATTGTCTTTTTGGTATCGCTCTTTTTATGTGACTATTGTTTTTCTCTCCTAAATCTTTAATTTGCATCCCACAGACCCTTCGATTAGTTTGTGTGTGTGTGTGTGTGTGTGTGGCAAAAGATCCATGACATAAAATTTACCGCTTTAAGTGGAGAGCTCGGGGGATTAAGTACATTTACCGTCCTGTGCAGCCGTCATAATTGCTGCAGGAACTTTTTTTTTACCAAACAGAAGCTCTTTACCCACTAAAAAATAACTCCTCACCTCCCCCGCCCACAGGCCCTTTCAGTGTCGGTTCTACTTCCTGTGTCCGTAAATTTGCCTAGTCTAGGTGCCTCATATAAATAGAATCATGTAATACTTGTCTCTTTGTAGCTGGTTTATTTCTCTTAGCATGTCTTTAAGGTTCATCCGTGTTGTAATATATGTTAGAATATCCTTCCTTTTTTTTTTTTTTTGGTTTTTCTCGGGTACCGGGAACCGAACTCACGACCTTGCACTTGCCAGGCAGGCGCTTTTTGCCGCTGAGCTAAATCCCCAGCCCCTATCCTTCCTTTCTAAAGCCAAATAATATTAATACGTATGTATGACACATTTTTGTTTATCTGTTCACTCCTCTGTGAACATCTGAGCTACTTCTACCTTTTGACTATTAATGCTGCTATGAAGTTGGTGTAAATATTGAAACTGCCTTTACAAGGAAGAAGAACTAAGTTTAGAACTGACTGGAGAAGGGAAAGTGGAAAGTGGGTCTGAGGAAGGGAGTAGAGGAAAAAGATTTTTTAAAAAAAGGGAAGAAAGACAAAAAACTGAGATATTAAAAGTGAGAATCCAGAATTTAAATTAAAGCACTTTTCAGAATCAACAAAGGGATACATGCGAATAAGTTTCAATATTTTTAAGCATGGATGACAATATATATAATTTCACCTTCGAGGGTTTTTTTTTGCTCTTTCAGTTTTAAAGATAAGTTTGCTAGACACAGACGTGCCAAATTATCTCTTGGCTCTTTAACATAAAGCAACAACCATTGTGCTTTTTTAAGCAGTGAGGTATTTTAGGTAATGAACTTTTAACCAGTTACTTCCCGATACAAAACAGTAATCAAGCTGTATCTAAATGTATAGTATTGATAGATACAATTCTTCCATTAAATTCTCAGTGATTCACATGTTACTTTATCTACAAGTATTTTACCTTCCCTCTTTTTAGTGTGGGTTCCCAAGTACCTACCACTGAGAGCATGTTTTGATCCTACTAGGACTAACAAAGTAAATTGGATCCAAATCTTGATAATGTAAGAATTGCGTTCGTGTGTAGCCTGAGCGAATGTATGTACCCATTTAATGACTTTCTGAAAAGCATCTTACTCCCTCTTTCAGGAAAAAAGACATTGGCTGGAAAGTATATAAACAAATGCTAGCTATAGATATGACCCTAATCTACCTTGTTTATAGTGCTTTTTTCCATTTTAAAATACTTTACAAATAAAAAGACAGAATGTAATGTTCAAATTCATTGCTACTGCAGTTATTAATTATAAAAATATACTTTTTATATTTGAAGAATAAACGTGTTACAGGAATATTTTACTTACACTGTCATTAAAGACTTTCCGAAATCACATTTTCTGATAACAGCTACAACTCCAGCCATAGCATTCTTAAAGGTGGGAATTTAAACCATGTGGCAGTTTACGCTGAGCATCACAAAGGCTGCGTGTTTGTTTACATACGGACCATACCTCGAGTTGTTCAGGCTGGTGTCATTTCAGTCAGCTGGGCTTTTGGGTTTTTTGGTCTTTTTGAGACAGGGTTTCACTGTGCACTTTAGGCTGGCTTTGAACTCACTGTAGCCCAGGCTGGCCTTAAACTCACGATGTACCTCCTGCCTCAGCCTCCCGAGTGCTGGGATTACAGGTGTGCGCCACCACGCCCAGCTGATCAGCCAGTTCTTGCATTGAATAAATCTGATAAAATTATCATTTTTACATTTCCTGTTATGTTATAAAAATTAATGAAGGTATGCAATTTTTGATCAGTTGAACTGGTAAGTGGTTAAATATTCTTTCCTAGGAAACCTGGTAAGTTATTTGCTATTTTACAAACTGGTGGTTGAGCAAGAATATTCCTAGTATATTTTTGGTGCCTTTTCAGTTGTGCAGAGGGAAAAATAAAATGCCCAGTTTGGTAATAAGTGGAATGCACTGGAGCCAACACTTAAAATCCCAGTTAAATGAGTTCATTAAGGCAGTAGTTTGAACCTTGACTGCATAAAATATCCTGGGCATCAGCATTTTTAAAAACTTATCCAAGCAAACCCAAGTCAAAGTGGAACAGCACTGACTAAAGATATATTGGAAAGAGGTGAGTTAGGCAAGTATTATGGTGGTCCAAATGAGAAGTAAGACTTCAGTGAGGAAGTTGGCAGCAAGCTACCCAGAGGTAGGAGCGGCCAGACTGTCCCACACATGGGAGAAAAGTGGAGCAAAGATGCTGTGGTAGGGCTGATGGTTTTGCCCTTGAGATTGGGTGGTACTGCCACAGAAAAGAACTGGATAGAAATCGCTGGGAACCAGCTACATTTGTGGGTAGGAGAAAGTTAAAAAACAAAACAAAAAGGAAACCTGAGTAGAATCAATTAACTGTGGCATTGGAAGCTAAAGACAGGATTTCCGCTAGGATTCATCAGTGTCTCAAGAGCATTTAGGAACAAGTACAGTGATATGAAGTGATAGGGAATTTCAGAAATATTTTCTGAAATGTATGTTTATTAGTTGTCTTCAACGCTATACTTTAAGTTCCAAAAAAGAAAAAAACAGACTTATAAAACAGAAGACAGAGGTTCTAGGCCCAGCTCCACTCCTGCCGGCCAGCTGCCCTGGTTGACCACTTACCCGCAGGCCACCGCTTGCTGCGTTCGGCGGGGCGCCAGCCTGTGCCCTGCCGCTTGTATCGCAGAGTTGTTCCACTGAGTTCCGTGACAAAGGTGAAAACTCTGTGAATATGTGTACCCGCTCACATAATAGATAAATGTAAACCTTTTGCCGCTGTTTCACAAGGGCGTTAGGACTGAGATATTTTGGAGGATTTGTATTCTTAACCAAGAGGGAAAATAAAATATGAAATTCTTCCTAGGACTCCTCTTTCCACGAATCTCCCAGTCCCACAAGGCATGTGGAATAGGGAAAGAAATGATCATAAACACAGTCTCAGTGATGCAGCAGTTGTATCACGATGCATTTGTAGTGCTGAACCTAGTACTCTCCTAAATTGTCTTTAAAAGTTAATGAAAAAATAACATACAAGATGAAAAGTCATATAAGTAAAATACTGTGGTAGTTTTGAGAAAGGGTTCAAAACCTGGCACATCACTGGACCATCGTGATAGATACAATAATAAAGATAGGTGGATTAATGAATAGTGGCTGGGGAGAGGTGCTGTACCCCAGAAAACTTCTTCAGTTTATATGTAGACAAACAAAGAAGTGTTGAAAACGTATCAGATGGAAAAGGTAGAGTTAGCAGCAAGGGAAAAATTATTTTTCAATCTAGAAGACTAAGTTCTCAGGGCCGAGACTGAGGAAATCGGAGATGAGTCACAGGAAATGCCCGCAGAAATGGCGGCACACCCAAGCAATCACTCTTGCACTATATTGATGACAGTTGCATCTTTCCAAGGGCAAAGTAATTGCTTAATGTTCAGATGTTTTCCTGTAACATGTGCACTGCAGTGATCTGCTTTAAATGTAGAAGTTCAAGGATGCTGACCGTGTCATGTTTGGTCTACAGGAATAGAAAATCTCTATGAGAGGGCGCTTCACATCCGCAAACTCCTCCTGACCTTGCCCAAGTCGGTCCTGATAGTGATGAGGTACCTCTTCGCCTTCCTCAATCAGTAAGTGCCCTAATGCTCTGACAAAATGCCCATCTAAATTCTGTCTGTGTTCTTGGGTCCTATAAAATGTACATTGGGTTCCATTTGTCAGCAGGGTCAAAGGAAAAAAACTGATTGACTCTGGACTGAAGGAACATTTTTCCTCAACAGATCAAGGTCTTTGTATGACAGATGAAAGCACTTCCCCAGATAACACAAACGTGGCTGGCCATAAACGTAAAAATACCCAAATATCACTAATAGGGCTTCCCAGTAAAATGTGTTTTTTTCATCTTCCATCCAGAGTTAATGTCATAAGTGATACAAACCACTTTTTCATCTCAGAAAATCTCTGTGATTTTCAGCGTTGTAGTTGGGATGGAAAGGAATCATAAATGAGACTTACGCACAGATCCAGAAAGGAATTTCTGAGAATTTGCCACAATAAAAAGAAAACATGTCTAGAATATTAACTAAAATGATATATCTTAAATGCACTGCTTTTTTTTTTTTTTTAAGAAAAACTTCACTGTTTCGGTTTAGGCAGCTTGGTTTTTTTAATTACATTTCTCCCTGATACGTGGGCTCCGTTACAAGAACATCTTCCTCACGTCCTCCCTAAGAGTCCCCGGCCATGCAGTGTTCCGGTTAAGCAGTTGGACATTAAGACATCCAGGGAGAGATAACCGATTGGAGAAATGCCTTCTCATCTGGCATGGAGGCTCCCTTCCTAAACAGAGGCTGTTTTCTCATCTCTATTTCACTGGAGCTTTTGCATCCTCAAAAGTCAGGGGGATTTACAGCAACCCTGCAGACTATTGCTGAGGTCAGGTTGGCCCCCGCAACCTCGCACCGTACCATGAGGAAGTGCTGGCAGAAAACCAGGCAGCGCGGGGCTCTGCTGTTCACCTTGGGTGCCTCAAACATCCCCGGATGACAGGAGGAACCCGTTCATGCAGCATTCACCACTGAAAATAAGCGGTATCTGGAGGGATGAATGTAAACTGCTCAGGTTGCATAGCTGCTGTACCTCTTCACCTCGAAGCATGTCCGGCTGCGCAGGCAGTTGTGAAGGCCCAGAGCTCGTCGTCTTCGCCTTCCGTGGCGTGTGTTGTCCCCACAGCCCCGCGTGGGATTCCTTGTCTCTGCTGGCTCTCTCCACACTGTTGCTGACGTGTTTCCCTGACACACCCAAGCGAACCCCCTGTGAACCGGTGAAACACCGTGGGTTAGAAGAGTGGCCTGTTAATTAAGCAAGCTCTGGAAACCCGAATAGAATTCACTGGGAATTTCAACAAAATGGCAAACACACCACAAGTCAGACGGCTGCAATGGCTCCAATTGGTTCTGCTCAGAAACGTCCCCTGACGGCCCCCACCTGCCTTCCTGCAAGGACACAGGCCCAGCCTCTATGTCAGGAGCTTGAGCAGGAAGTTGGAGAAGAGAGGTCAGGGTGTAGACCTAGAGATGTAGCGCAGTCGTGGAGCGCCTGCCTCGCGTGTGGAAGGCCCTGCGTTCAGTTCCCAGCACTGAGGAGAGAGAGTGATATTAGCTATTTTTCACTGTAAAATCAAAATTTAGGCATTTTTGTTGTTTGTCTTTTTGAGACAGGGTCTCGCTATGCAGTTCGGGCTGGTCTTGAGCTCACTTTGTAGCCCAGGCTGGTCTTGATCTCAACGATCCTCCTACCTCAGCCTCCCAAGTGCTGGGAGGAATAATATTTTTCTATCAGAGTTTTTCTGTTCAAGCCAGCACCAAATGCGTGACCTAGAAACATTAAGTGTGAGTCTCCCTGCTGAGCTCAAGTGTGTCTTGAAAACTGGACCATTCTTAGCCAGGTGTGGTGGTGCACACCTGTAATCCCAGCACTCGGGAGGCTGAGGCAGGAGGATCATTGCGAGTTCGAGACCAGCCTGGGCTACAAAGTGAGCTCAAGGCCAGCCTGAACTGCACAGCAAGACCCTGTCTCAAAAAGACAAAGAAAAAGAAAAAAAAAGAAAAGAAAATTGGACCATTCTTATCCTGAATCTCACTTCTCCACCAGCTCTCACTTTCAAGGGCGTGTGTAACATGATCGTTTGCTACCCTGAACTTTTCTGTAAGATTGCATGCTTGAGAAGCGGCAGAAGGGAAGGCATATGTTAGCTATGGAAATTATCCTTTTGTGTTCTCTGCTTTCTAGACTATCTGATTTCTGAAAGGGGGTTAAATACCGAGCCAGGTGGTAGCTCAGTTTCTTGGTGTCTCGTCCTCTCACAAAAGTAGTTAAGTCTCCTTTTTCACCTCCATTGGTCACCTGTTCACCTGGATTTTACATTTCCCTGCGAGACAGACATTCTATACTCTGAGAGGTGATGCTTCTAAGCTCTCCCTAGAGTAGCATGCCCGTGTGTTAGAGGCACTGCAAGCAAGAGCTGGCTTATTCTGAGTTGCCTGCAAAAATATTTCATAAATGTCCATTACATTGTGTTTAGAAGTTAGCGGTAGAGAACTGAAAATCTCCCTCAAGGTCTGCCTGCCTTAACTAGAAATAAGTGAGGTGTCCTCTCCCCATTTCTTTCACTTTGAATGCCTTTTCTTGTCACCTCATGTTGGTGGATTTACCCAAAAGCAGATTATAAAGCCTGGAATTATTGTTCATTCCCTTTCTTTTTGGTTTTTCTCCAGTACCGGGAACCGAACTCACGACCTTGCACTTGCCAGGCAGGCGCTTTGCCGCTGAGCTAAACCCCCAGCCCCTCATTCCCTTTCAAGAGTTAAAAAGAAAATGGGTTCTGTTTTCCTCTAAACTTTTCTCAGGGTTTATTGGAGAAATCTAAGATATTTTTGAGTGGTGCGAGGACAAATTTATTCAAGACATTTATAAAGCGCTATGGATATTGCACTGTCTTCCCCAGATTTAGAGTCTGAGCATAAAATTTACCGCGAGAATCGTCCAGTCGGTCCTGACGTCCACTGGCGTGGCTCGTATGTGAACTCTCTCGTGACTTAGAAAAGCGCCACCTTTCCGAGCCAAGAGCACCTGTGTTCCCCTGTCAGTCTCTGTCAAGTTGAAGGTCTAAGTGACTTTACTCTCTGTGGAGGGTCATGTTTAAGTGGGATGGCGCAGGGGTCCCTGTGCAGTGCGGGTGTGTGGCCTGTCAGGACCCGGGGCGCACAGCAGGAGCCGAGCCCTCCGCGGCTCCCACCGCCTGAGCGCCACCTCCTGTCAGGTCAGCAGCCACTCGATTCTCATAGGAGGTTGGACCCTGCTGTGAGCTGCGCATGCCAGGGGTCCAGCTCATGTACTTTTTGGAATCATCCCTCACCCCTTCAACCTACGCACTTGTGGGAAAGTGAAGCTGCCAAAAAGTTTGGGGACCGGCGAGATAGCAAGCATATCGAATAGTAAAAACCCTGTCTTCAGAGTATGAGTGTCTTATTGGACATGTTTTCTTCTTTTCCTCTTGTGCTTTTACCACTTCTTTCCTGCTCCCTCCCCAAGTCTTTCCCAGTACAGCGATGAGAACATGATGGACCCTTACAACCTGGCCATTTGCTTTGGCCCGACGCTGATGCCTGTCCCGGACATACAGGACCAGGTGTCTTGCCAGGCACACGTGAACGAAACGGTCAAGACCATCATCATCCACCACGAGGCCATTTTCCCAGACCCCAAAGAACTGGATGGCCCAGTTTATGAGAAGTGCATGGCCGGAGATGATTACTGGTGAGTCCAAGAATTGTAGTTCTCTTCCTGCCAAAAAATAACATGTAAAATAAGATTATACGCACACAGATACCTATAACATAGAAGCACACATACCAGCTGAGTTAAGAAAAGGAAGTGTCTATACACCACCACTGCTTCCAGTTTAAAAATTAAAGTAAGAAGCAGCAGTACCAAGTGAGACAACTGAGAATACGAAGATCCGTGGCAACACTGGTATTCTATTGTGGAAAGTCATACTCGTCACTGGTCGCCAAGGGGTGTATCTGTTTAGATAAAGATAGAGCTACCCTGCCATGGCTTTCATGGAGAATACAGATTCTGATCATACAGACCCATATTGATTCCTATTATGTGAACTCAGGAAAAGATAAGTGGTTAACAGATTTTATTTTCCATTCTTAGACAGCTTTGATTCCATACACAGTTAAAATTCTCATTCTGAGAGAGCCCTGTCAACCAAATATATTTTTATCCTTACTTATTTTCATTTTTACTTTGACTAATGAATATTATTTCCACCCTTTTTAATTATTGTTATTATTATAATTAACAAATTCATGATATTAATATATTTTAGGAGTAAAACCTTTTAAATGTAGCAGATGGCCACCTCCCATAGAGCTATAAACATGGGAGTAGTATCTTCCGGTGAATAATTCCAAAATAGGAAAACCCTAAAAAGTTCGTGTTCACTATTTGGTATTTACTGTATGAGTCTCAAGCAGTTTCTGAGAAATCGTAGGGTAAAAGAAGCGTCGATTCCTTGAGCCCTTATTATGCGCTGGACGCTCAATGCACAATATTTCTTTCGTTTATCCTAAGCGTTCTGCAAAATAAGAAAAGCTGACCAGCCGCGAGGTGGGTAGTAGTCACTGGAGGCAGCCTAGGTATCCTATGCCAGTTTCTGTGGCTATGGTAGAATACCACAGACTGGGTAACTCATGTTTAGAAAAAGATAACATTTACATCTCACAGGTGCAGAGGGCGGGAAGTCTAACACCAAGATGCTGCCATTCGGCAAGGGTCCTCTGGCTGCGTCATAACGCGGTAGAAAGCTTCCAGCGCAGGAGCAAAGGAACGCGTGTGCTCAGCTCTCCTTCCCCGTCTTAAAAAATGCATCATTCCAACATGGCGCAGTCACCTCGTCCCACCCTCATTACTTCTCACAGTTCCAACTCCAGATCCCTTCAGTCTGTGAGCTGGGGGATTAGGTTTCCAACGCGTGACCCCCGGGGGACACGTTCACACCGTAACACCCAGTGGGCCTCGCTTGAACATCCATACGGGTCTTCCCCCAACAGCCTCCCTCTCTGCCTCAAAACCTGCCTGGGGAGCTAGGATCCGACAGCAGCTAGAAATAGACACGTCCAAATCCTTCAGTCTGGACTCTGCTGAGGGTACCGGATTTCCCCCTTTGCTTACAGATCGTTAAGTAGAAGTGGGACAAGTAACTGAAAGGTGAAAAGCACTTTTGTTTTATTTAGGCCATAGTGTGATGCCTAAGAAAACTAAGTGTTAGGTATTTCCAGAAATACTGCTTCCCAAATTGACAATAAAGCGTGCAAGACTCCAGTTCTCTGGGGTATCCAGTACTTTATACATGAAACCGAATTCCAAAGTCTTTACCTGAGTACTTACCGTGTCCAGGTTCCTGCCTAAAGCTTGGCTATGGCAAGACAAATGAATAAAGCCCAGCACTCCTGAGATATGTAACTTTATTTTCCTAATCATTTGTTTTCAGGGCTCTGTTGGTAAGCTCTGCTGCCTAGCTCACTTCATCAAAGACCAAGGGGCTCCCGGATCGATATTATTTGACGTGTTGTGTTCTAGAACATTCTGTAGTTGCAACTTCTTCCAAATAGGGTAGAAACCTACATAATAGTCTTCTAGCCATTAGTGGCGTACCCTCCTGCTTATGCATAGTGTTTTCTTTGGGTATTGCTCATTTTAAACAGAAAATCAATAATATAGTAATTATCCTTGTCCCCTAACACCAGCAATATAAGTGAGCTTTTATAGTAGTAACAGACTTGTATTTGTGGCCAGTACATTTTATCAGCATATATTTGAGAGAGATAATGGTCGTGTTAAAGGGTAAGTTCTAAAAGAGGATAAAAGTAATGACTCAAATACAGAAATGCAATGAACACATATCAAGAAACGATGGAAAAGATGCTACAGTCGGTTCAAAAGAAAAGTCAAAGAACCATCAACTTATATCTCATAAAAGAATGATGAATTGAATTTATACAAAACTGGTCTATGTGCAGAGCAGCAATCCAACATCTTCTACCTGAATTGAACTACTTTGCATTTCCATGGAGAACAGTGATTTGTAATGCTACAAATTTTCCCTAAGTTAGCCTCTGTCCAAATAGAATTAGAAAATAACCTAGTCAAAGATTAGTGCCTATCCTCATAGCACAGAAAATCAAGAGAGGTTGTGTAGCATTTCATCCTTGGGTTATCCAGGAACTTCTTTGCCATTAAAACTTTTAGATTTTTCCTTAAAGTAGCAGTTATTCACTTTAAAACTACTCAGCACGGTGGTTTATAAATTAGCTTGTAAATTTCTACTTCCGCTCCACAGCGACAGCCCATACAGTGAGCACGGTACGTTGGAGGAGGTGGACCAGGAGGCTGGTACAGAGCCCCACACCAGTGAAGACGGTATGACTTGTGCCCTTGCTATTATAAAACAGTCTCCCTATCCTTTGTCTCCTTTTTTAAATAATTCTTTATGTTAAAAACTCAATAGATGCGAAAGGATATTTATAAATTATGTGTCGGGTGTAAAGAATACTAAATGAGCACTCATGGAACCACTACCAAGTTTTAAAAAAAATTTTAATAGTTTCTTGTTTTCTGTCTTCCTGAACGTTCCACAAGGGGTCATGCTCTGTGTATTTTGCTGAGTTTTTCTATTCAGTATTACATTCCTGAAATTCATCACAATGTTGCATTCAGTTATAAGTGTTTGTTATACCACCATTTAATATCCCTTTCCGTATGTCTCTTCTTTCTATTCTTGATAAATATGGGAAGCATTGTCTTATTTTTTGCCAGTAAGAACAGTGCTACCATACATCACTAGGAACATTTTGAAAGGTCTCCTCCTGCAAATACAGTTTTCCTCGAATGCACACGTAGGAGTCCTTGTATCTTCAACTTTACATACATTGCTACCTGTTTTTGAAAATGGTCATAATAATATTCACTCTCCAGCTATGAATCGGCTTTCTCATTGTATATATTCAACAATACTTTTGAAATATTTTAACCTCTGTTAAGGTTATCAATCTGTACCAGGATCTAGTGTGATTTTAATTTCTCCTCTGATTCCTAATGAAGACCTTCTTTTACAATACAATGATGTCAACAGGTTAGAAAACAGCTACCACTAAAGAGAGAGTTTGTTGGGCTCCCCAAGAGAAAGGAACGAACCGCCTATAGGAGGCCACGTGGGGAGCCCTTGGGGTCCACCAGGAGGCAGAGGACAGAGAGGAATTTGCTGTGGTTTTCCTGGGAAGGAGCAGGCGAGGCAGGGTAAGCGGGTTGAGAATTGGCTGGTTCGAGTAATTTCTGCGTGCTCTGCGACCTAGCGCCATCTCAAATTGCTGGCGCGTGGCTCTGGGGTGATGAGAGAAGGGGACTACCTGCAGCAGGAGAGCCCAGCAGAGCTGCTGGTTGGGGTGTTGGCTCTGGACTGGCTGGTTTGGGTTTGAAAAGCTTGCTTGTGCCGAGTTGTTACAGTCTGTGGGAAGTGGCCGGCCCGATAGGAACAGACCTTCCAGGATCAGCAAGGGCCCAGGGGGTAGGTTACAGAGGATAAAGGCACAGGTGTCACAGATGCACACAGCTGTACATTTCAGAATCTTCCTTTGTGAAACTCCTATCAAGCCTTCTGTCTATTTTCCTGCGGAGTTTTTCTGTTGGTTTGTTTGGCTTTGCCTAGTTTGACTTTGATCTGTCTGTCTCTCGCCTGGCCCGACCGGAACTGTTTCTGTGAATTAGAGCGCCCCGTTTCCCTTCCCTCCGGCCCCTGGCGATTGCCGTTCCACCCTCGATTCTATGAGTTTTACTATTTCACATGCTTCATATAAGGCGAACCGCGCAAAATATTGGCCCATTTTACTTAGCAAAATGTCCTCCGGGTCCGTGTCTGTTCTCACCTATTGCAGGCCTTACTTCTTTTTAAAGTCTGAATAGTTTTCTGTTGTATGTATGTATCACATTTCTTTATCCATTCATCTGTCTCTGGAAATTTACAGTGTTTCTATATCTTCTCTATTGTGAATAACGCCACAGTGAGCATAGAAGTGTTAATATCTATTTGAGATTCTGTTTTCAGTTCTTTCAGATAGTATACAAATTGCTAGATTATATGGTGTTTCCGTTATTTTTTTCTTTTTGCACCAGCAGGTACCAACCCAGGCTTTGTGCATGCTAGGCAAGTGCTGTACCATGGAGTTACATCCCAGCCCTTTTGAAATTTTATTTTGAGACAGGGTTTTATTAAGTTGCTGGCTGGCCTTGAACTGGGATAGAACCCAAGACTCATACATGCTAGGCAAACATTCTACCGTGGAGCTATATCCCCAGCCAGTTTTTCAAGATCTTCAAAAATAATAATAAAAAAATACCTTAAAAACATTCTGGAGTTTCTGACTGTAGTTATGCTGATTTTATACATATTAATATGGAGAGAATTTTCTGTAGATTATTCAGCCTTCTACTCCATGAACATATTTTCAGGTATTTAATATCTCCCAATTAACTTGCATAGTTTCAGACGTCATTGTGTTTCCCACTGAGACTTTTAAAGTTCAGTGGTTAGCATTAACTATCAATAATTTATTTTTTAATATAAACTGTTAGTTTTCTCTTACTGCCTGTTTAGCTGCCTGAACAAATTATTTTTTTTCTCTCTTTAGCTGTGACTAATCTGCTTCAGACCATCCACTGAGTTTTTATTTTAATTTGTTTATTTCTACACATTTTATTTGGTATACATTCACATCTGGTTTTGCTTGGTCATTTTTATAATCTTTCTTGTTACTCAAAGGAATCAGTCCTTTGCACCATTTCACGTTACGTCTTTGGTATTTTGATACGTACACCCAAATTTTTGCTGGTTCTCATTCATGGATTCTCATTTTCCAATATATTTTTACATTGCGTACATTTTGGGGGGAACTTCGGGCTCAACTGAAGATAAGTTCCTCCAGAGAGAGTTTTCATTTACTTCTGCCTGAGGTACATCCAGCCTAGAGCAACACTGAATACTTAGCTTAAAGTTTATCAGATCACCCAGTTAAATTGTAAATTTAAACTGTAGAACTGCCTAAGGATGGAAATGTGGCTGAAATTCTAAGAGATAGTACATTCCAGTGTTTGAAATAGATTAGTATTTCCTTAAGAAGAGGAGCAAGTGTAAAGTGAAAGAGATGGTTATAATCTATGGAAAAGTATGGAAGATTAGGGGTACAGGGAGGAGAGTTATAAACCAGAAGTTGTGGAAGAACAAAGTTATATAAATACTTCTAGAATATTACAGGGAGCCAGGCATGGTGGTACACGTCTGTAATTCCAGCACTGGGGAGTCTGAGGCAGTAGGATTGCCGTGAGTTTGAGGGCAGCCTGGGCTACATAGTGAGTTCAAGGCCAGTCTAAACTACATAGCGAGACCCTGTCTAAAAAAAAAAAAACCCAAAAGGAAAAAAAAAAAATTACAGTGTAGTGTGCTGAGACACTGAGCACATGATTCTTTTGGTGGAGAATGAGAATATGTAGGTTCCCCACCCTAAAACAGGCTCTGGACTTGGTTACCTGTTGGGGCTTAAATTACCAGGCTGAGAAATTGCCCTTAAAGCAAAGTTGGATTCATGTGTTCTAGTGTTCTCTTTACCTGAGTTCCCACTTTCGTGAAGTTTTTTGGTCTTTAGTATTTCTGTCCTGATAACTTATTAATGAAACTACTATTTTTTAAAATACAGCATGTTAGTTGATTTTTTCAGGAAGGTGATTCTAATTAGCAGATAATTAGAATATATAGAAAACAAAATTTTCTGGTGTTTTTAAAAGTAAGATGAGTTGACATTTTCCAGCTCTTTTTTTGTTTGTTTGTTTGTTTGTTTCTTGTACCGGGAATCAAACTCACGACCTCGTGCTTGCCAGGCAGGCGCTGTGCCGCTGAGCTAAATCCCCAGCCCCGAGTTGACATTTTCTGAACTGAAATTATAAGACAGTCTTTAAAGTGAGAACTTCTATTTCTGTGGTATTGCTTTTGAAAATGCCTGTGCCCTACCCATGCTACCATGTTGTCTTTTGTCTTGGGCATCTTTGTTCTCCATATAGTCCGTCCCTTTTCTCTGCTGACTTCTCCAAGTGTGTATTAGTCATTTTTCCGTCACTGGGACAGAGGGCCTGAGCCCTACAGCTTGGTGGAAGAGAGGGTTATTTCGGCTCACGGTTTCCGTGGGTTCAGTCCATGGCGGGTGGCTCCAAGGCAAAACAGCATGGCAGAATGCCTTGGCAGAGGAAAGCTGCCCACTGCGTGCTAGCCAGGAAGCAGAGCACAAAGGTAGCGGCCAGAAAGGAGAAAACACTCTTCCAGCACACACCCCCAGTGATCTGCCTCCTCTGAGCAGGCCCTGTCTCCAAGTAGCACAGTCAGCTGTGAACTTAGCCGCGGACTGATGTATAACTGTTTCCGTGCTTTCTTCAGTGGCAGGAAAAGCCAAGACACAGCCCCAACCACCTCTTTTCCCAAACAGCAGTCTCCCCGCCGTGCCGTCTCTCAACTCTTCTTAACTCTTGAGGACCAGAGAGAAACTTCGTTGGGTACTCTGTGTTTTGTATCCCTCTGATCGTGGTCAGCTGCTTTTGCCGGAAAGAAAAGAGTTGGTGACAAAGGACAGATGTCCTGCCCCACAGCCAAACTCCAAAGTCCTATAATTAAATTAACTAGAGTATTGATTACCTTTTTAATCAGAGGGTTTGCATTTCTTTCCTGTGTCCCCCAAGCGGACAGAGCAGCTTTTATTTTCAAAAGACAGGCTGTCACGGAACAACACCATTCTTTGCAGGGGCCGTAGGTAACACATAAAGGAGGAAAAATGTCACGGAACATAAGATTCCCCAAGAGAAATGCTGTACTAATATTGCATATAAAATTACAAGAAGTAGAAATGTAAGACTTGATAGTGCCATATAGTCAGGGTAGGAGCTCTGCTGAACTTTCTTTCCCTTTGCAAAAAATTCTAATAGCCATGCATGAAAGCTAAATGATCATGTGATACCCTTACTGTTACTGGTATTGGTATCAGCACTAGCATCAGTCTATAAAGTCTCCAGAGGGTCTTGAAGACTCTGAGTTGTTGTACGTGAAAGGGGCATGGCGCACCATGCCCTGAGATTGATTTGCCATGCAATGCCAAACGTGTAAATAGCGTATTGATTGACACTTGACTGTGAAACGGCTCTCAAGGGAGTAGAAAGAGTCAAAATAATAAAAGTGCTCAGCATTGCTGGTTGATATACTAGGGTTGCCGATAAAATATTCTGATTTATTTGGTCATTCCTTCATAGCTTGCCCACCTCTCAATAAAATAAACAGAGTCAGATAATCCTCTTGCTAGTTGTTTCAAAAAATAGTAATAAGCAGAAGA